ATATATATATATATATATATATATATATATATATATATATATATATATATATATATATATATATATATATATATATATATATATATATATATATATATATATATATATATATATATATATATATTTATATATATATATTTATATATATATATATTTGTATATATATATATATATATATATTTTGTATACATATATATATAGTATATATATATATATATTTGTATATATATATATATATATATATATATATATGTATATATATATATATATATATGAATATATATATATATATATATATATATATATATATATGTATATATATATGTATATATATGTGTATATATGTGTATATATGTATATATATGTATATGTATGAATATATATATATATATATATATAAATTTATATATATACATATATAAAATTATAGATTAAACTTACGTAAATACATGTATATGGAGAGAATTTTAAAAATTGTCTCACACATATACACACACACATATATATATATATATATATATATATATATATATATATATATATATATATAAAAAGATTGAATAGTCGTTTTAAAAATAACGGTGCAATTCAGTTGATCATTTTTTACCGTTTTGGCAAGTTGTAGATAGTTAATACGTTTCCAGTAATTCAAAATTAAAATAAACCCAAAATTAAAAGAAGAAAAACTGTTTATCTTTTCATTTTCTGCACTTGGAGAAAATCCGGATATTACTCTCGGCGGAGGTCCTCCAAGTCCTGCCGACGAAGAATGCACTTGGGAAGTTGACTTACCATTGTCTTTAGTCTTGGAGCATTTCTTATTTTTTACCTTTTAACATGGTTACTCTTTTTTTTCCTTATAAGAACGAAATTTTTATATCTGCGTATATCAATGTGTTTAGGCTTGTTTCATCTTTTTTTCTTTGTAACTGTGTGTGTAAATGTGCGTATCGCTCTACGGATATGAGAGAGGTGCGTGTCTTTTGGTGACTCTGTGTGTGTGTGTGCGCGCGAGTTTTTTTTTTCTTTTCTTTGGTTCATACGATGAAATAGAAAAAAATTATTAGAATCAAAGAAAAGAGTGCCAGATTGCTATGTGACATCCATACATTTATATGAAGAGAAAACTTGAGGCTGCAGAAAAATAGTTCTTCAAAAAGAAAATTCCACGCACAGAGAAAGTAAGCAATGAATATATCTTAAATAAAAAAAACTCTTGGTAAGAGAGTGTCGAAATTACTTTCGCATCACGAGGAAAGAGGGCTTGAAAAACTTAACACTCGCGGGGGATATTGAGGGCAAGGGAGGAGTTTAAACATCAATACTTACGAAAAGGAGACTTGTGCTTAAGTTGAGAAAAAGCGAGTTAGAATTTCTAGGACACATAATTCGGTAAGAAGATTGAAGAATTTTAACACTCATTGGACTTATTTGAAAGCAAGAAGGAACGAGGAAGTATCCAGTATTGTACATACCAAAACGAGTTTGTGCAAATTGATACCAGAATATGACGTCGGAGAGCTAAGAAAGAAACCAATTTTGTTTAGTATTTCAAATGGATGGAAGTGGTGGAGAGACACGATCACTTGTGGCCTGAAGAGATGCCCCACATAGAATAAGAAAACATCCTCAAAGAATTATTTATATATCCCTTTGTGCTCATCGTGTGTATGTACCTGCATCTCCATGTGTGTATGTCGTTCTCTGTATTTGTGTGTGTGTCACTGTATGTCTTCGTGTGTCTGTTTTTGTGTTTGTTTGAACTTGTGTGAATTGATGGCTGAACAGAGCTACTAAAGAAAAAAAAAACTTTACTCAGGGCTACAAAGGATTTGAAATTGCGGAGCGCCATGATCGGCCAATGGGATACGACACACGATTGAAGAATAACATATTGAATGTAAACTTATTTTATTAAAAGGTTATGTTAAATCAAGAGAACCTCCTGATATTTCCGAGTTCCTGACGAACGATTGGCATTGTGAAAATTATATAACAGCGATAAAAACGGATATGCCAAAAAGCAACAACAAGAAAAAAAATAACAAAAAGAGGGATAACAAAAATAATACATTACCGTAAATTGGTCATATCGAAATATAGAACACAATTTACAAAGACATAAGCGGTTCATCGGCCCTCAATCATCAATCGAGGGCAATAAATATACATAGCGCCTCAAATCAACAGCAAAAACCGAATATTATATTTTTTTAAAATAAAAGACAATTACTTATTACAATTTTATAGCCATTATTTTATTAGTATATAATGGTCCACCTTCTATGGGTAATTACTTTATTTGGTTTATTCAACTTTAATATTGCTGTTTTGCTGTGTATTCAGTATTATTGGCATCGTATATAGATGTTCCACATTTTTAATTTTATCTACAGGCCATTTTAAGAAAATTCCAGAATATATAATTTTTTTAAAAATTTGTTTCTAATAATGTTACGTCTGAATAACCTCCCCTACTACTTCAACAAATGGAACGCCATATTTGGCTACATTCATGATACATTTGTCGCTGCCATATTCTCCATATTCGTTAAAGATGACATGCCTAAGAACCGGTTTATAGTGACATGAAAAAATAACCCACACACTACCTCCCTCTGAGCTTACTTTTCTATATAGCGTAGATCTGGAATTTAATTGGTTAATCAAGACATACCCACAAGTCTATTTTTAATTCTCTCCTTATGTACCCCTTTAACTTTCGGAAAAGAGGTAACACTTTGGTTTCTTATTTTTTAAGTCATTTTTATCGCAAGTTACCATCGTCTGAAGAAGTAAAATCCAAGTATTGAAACATGACATCTTTCCTGTAGCGATTTCAACATGTAATGATCTCTTATAGTAAAAATAATGATCTGACATCTCGTCTACAGTCACTTTCTCTCTTCCACCTACTTGATTCCCTGATGGCTATAATCTTCAAATATTCAAATGTAATGTCAATCGACATCTTCTGATGCCTTGATCTTGATCCTCGTCCTTCTCTATATCCTTTCCTCAAAGAACCCTCTTTACTCTTGCTCTCAATTTTCTGCAACCCCTTGCGTGCTAGTGGCACTCCCACCTTGCCTGAGGTGAAATGCTTAAAAATGTTAGGTTTAAAGATTTTGGACGCATTATTCCTGTTTATTTAAGTTTTAATCATTTCAAATCCACGAATTAATTTCTTGGTGGCTGTAGAAAATTGATTAAGAAAAATTCCTAAATTTTCTTCCAAATAATTGTTATTTTTCAAAGTACTTTCAATCTCATCTGAGACTATCTTCAGGGTCTGCATATCTATGGCTGTGTTCTGCTCTTTATATAAGAGATCAAAAATAAATAAAGACAACTCCGAATATAGAAACACATTTCTTAAATGATTATAGCAGCAAAGTGTTATATAAAAATACTAAATTAAAATACTACAATTAAAAAATCTTTTTAAAATGGAATCACATAAGTTACCTCCCTTGTGTAGAGGTAAAACACTTTGAATTTACGTGTTAACGCATAATACATCCATAGATATGCAACAGCTGAAGATGGTCGCAGATGAGATTGAATATACTTGGGAAAATCAACATTATTTGAAAGAAAATTTTGGAATTTTCCTTAATCAATTTTCTACAGCTGCAAAGAAATAAACTTAATTAATTTTTTCGAATATCAGGACTAATTGTCAGTCTATTTCATAATATATGACGTCATTTGTTTGCGTTAAAATAAGCTTTGAGCAGATATGAGCGTTCGAGAAAAATTTTAGGAAATTTGTACTTTAAAATTAGTAATTCGACCTTGCTAACCAGTAGCTTCCTCTATAGCTAAATGGTATAGCATCTCAGGCTATATGACGGTTCCGTATAAGATACAAATTCGATTCATATCGGTGGACACATATTTTCTATCAAATTTCCTGTACATTCAGTCCAGTAAATATTGTTTATTATAAATTGAGCATTTACTAAATTATTTGTATCTATAAAAATAACGTATAAATAATAAGATCTAAGTACAGTGCTGTTCGATAAAAATGACTCACCTGATTTTTTTTACTAAATGTTCTCTTCTTCGATGAAACGAAAGCTGAGCTAAATTTAAAGGATAAGCGATCTAAAATCTAAAGAAGAAGCTTTGAAAGCTCTTAGAAGTTAGCAGTAAGTACTGTCAAGCATCCGTTCAGTATAATGTTCTGGGGATGCTTTTCTTTTCATGGAACTGGTTTCTTAAAACCTATTGAAAAGACCCTCAGGAGCGAGCAGTACAAGAGAATTTTAGAGTCTTGTCTGCTCCCTTCTGATGAAAGGGTGCAAATCGACCCCACCAAGCTCATTTTTATGCAGGATAATGTTCCCTGTCACAAATCAAAATTGATGAAGGAATACTTTGATGAGAAGCAGGTGAGTATTATGACATGACCGCCCCAATTTCCTGACATCAATCCCATAGAAAACTTATGGAGTATTATAAAGTACAGTGTCTCGAGAAAGCAATTGAGCAACAAAGAGGATTTGATTGTGAATCTCATATTCGAATGGAATTCAATGCTTGGAGATTAGATTTGCCAGAACCTAATCAATTCAATGCCAAAAAGGGTTGAAAAGATTATTCAAAATAAAGGAGGACCCATAGATTATTAAATATTTCGAACTATATTACTTATTATAAATAAATTATACCTCTATTATTCTTTATTTAAATCTGTTCGATTATGTTTCTATTGATTACTAGTTGCAGGAAATAAATGAGTCACTTTTTTTGCTAAATCTCATTTATATCCAAAATTATAATTATCAATAAAATTAGGGTGAGTAAACTTTTTTACTAGGTGGTTGGGAAGGGGTCTTTATATTAGTAAGATTAAAAATTAGTTTGAGTCACTTTTATCGAACAGTACTGTATGTAAATCCAACCACTTTATCACTTATTTTTTCTTTACTCTTTCTTACTTTTCTTTCGTCTTTCTGTCGCCCTCTCAATATCTCTGTCTCTCTCTTTAAATGCCTCTCTCTCTCTCTCTCTCTCTCTCTCTCTCTCTCTCTCTCTATGGGTTCTATTTTGTTTCTGTCTTTTTAGTGTTTATATGCATGTACGTCTTTCCGTGCATCTGTGTGTCTGTCGCTCTCTGTATGTGTGTACACGATTTTCTGTGCATCTTTCTCTGTCTGCTCCTCTTTGTTTTTTTTTGTGTGTTTGTCTCTTTATGAGTGTGCATCTTTTTTTACATAATCCCTTATATCTTTGTGGATGCGTGTGTCTGTTTGTGCCAGTTTTGGTGTTTCTTTCTCTGCCTTTCTTTCTTTATCACTATTTCTCTTTCTTTCTCCCTCTGTCTGTATCTCTCTTCATATGCACATGTTTCTGTCTCTTTCTCTCGCCATTGTGCATCTTTCTGATTTTATGAGTGTACGTCCCTGTATCGTACCCCCCTTCACTCTGTCTTCTTTGATTCTTCCTCGCCGTGCGTCTTTCTTTTTCTCTCTCTGTCTTCATATGCAAGTGTCTGTGTCTTTAGAGTGCGATCTCTGTCGTGATGTCTGGCCCGACGTAAGGGTTTCGCCTCACGCCCTGAAAATTTCATACGGGCCCCACTCTCTATTTCATGTCAAATTCAAAATTTCTCAACCTGGAGGCCACAAATTCTCAAAGGAAAATTCGTGGGGAGGTTAGCGTTTTTTTTTTTTTTTTGTTTTGTTTTTTAAATTATCAAAAATCAGGGAATTATCCAATTTAAATGAAAATTTCATTACATATTACTAATTATTTACTTTCATAATGATCAGGGTTTTATTTAAAAATCTGAGAAAATGTTATTCTTTTCCCCAATATTTTCATGATAAAATTTTACTCAAAAACCAGTGTTTAAATCGCAAATTCTTACATTTCCATAAACATTAATCGCCGATTTAAAAAGATTCCAATATAACACGTAAAAAAAAAAAAAAAAAAGGCCTGCCAAACTGAATTAAAACAATCTCCCCCGGTGGACTAAATAAAGGGTTCGATTTGAAATTCCAATCACCTGATGAAGGCCGGAGCGTACAACGGCCGAAAAATTATGAATATGACACTAAAGATTAGGATAACAGTTCGAATAATGTAAATAATGCAAGTAATCACAATACTTCATTTCAGAGATATTAACAGATATATAGAGAGACATAGACATAAAGGCCGGAGCGTACAACGGCTGAAACGTTGTGAGTATGACAATGAAGATGAGGATAACAGTTCGAATTATGTAAACAATGCAAGTAATCATAATACCTCATCTCAAAGATATTGACAGAAACTGAATTTTCTTTAAAAAGAATCGGTGCGAATACATGACGGGACATTTGTAATTACTGTTTTGCTGAGAGTTTGAAGGAAAAATTAGGGTCAATTAGGGGTTTATAGGATTAGTGTCAGGCTAGGTGTAGAACTCTTCCGTAAAAGTTTGACGAATGAGATTAATCCGCAATTTACACTTACACTTACGTCTCTTACTGGCGTCTCTCTCACCTGGTCCTATCATGTATTTGAGCCAAAAAACTCAAAAATATTTCATGTAATACAATTCATAGCTAAATAAATGCATAAATTTATTCAAAAGAACTGTGCAAGAAGAAAAACCCAATTTAATAATATAAGTGCTAATGAAATTATCACTTCTTTCTCCCCTTCTCAGTAGGATTATGGCCCCTATACGGTTGAAAGTTTCAGGGTAGTAATCACCAGCCCTGTCGATTATTATAATTGATGACTGACAATATAACTTAGGTAGAAAAAAAGTAAAAATTACAAAAAGCCAAAAAATCACTGCTGAAACTAGCGATTTGGGCTCTCTAACCCCGTCGGGGATTCCTGCATAGTACGCACCGCAGCGGTAATGCAGATACACGATGTATATTAGTTGACGACTGACAATGTAACGTTAGTTTAAAAATAATTTTTAAAAAATGGCGGATGGCTATAAGCAATACTGAAAAAAAGACAGAGGCCACAACGGGGCCCCACAAAAACGCCCCTCTCACGATCGGGGTTTCGGTGGCACTATAACTCTTTATACACCTTATTATATTGCCATATTTCTCTCTCTCTCTCTCTCTCTCTCTCTCTCTCTCTCTCTCTTTTCTGTGTAACTTAGAGCCTTTTTGTGTGTCCGTCTCGTTATAAGCGTGTGTCGTTCTCTAAGGCTGCGTGTTTCCTGTGCATGTCTCCTTGTGTGTTTTTATGTGTGTCCGTGTGCTGTCTTTGTGTATGTATTTTTGTCTTTTTTCTCTCTCACTGTGTTTGCATGTGTACATCTCTGTCTATATGGGTGAGCGTCTCTCTCTCTCTATCTCTCTCTCTCACTGTTTCTATTACGCTTTATCCGATTGGTTATCTGTGTGCTTCTCTCCGTGTATTTCGCTATCTCTTTATATGAATATGTTATTCTCTCTCTCTCTCTCTCTCTTTCTTCGTGTGTTTCCCAGTGCGTTTATGAATGTGCATCTTTGTTATCCTACTCATTCTGGTTTCGTGTAGTTGTTTCTCTCTTTCAGTGTGTGTGTGTGTGTGTGTGTGTGTGTGTGTGTGTGTGTGTGTCTGCCTGTCTGTCTGTCTGCCTGTCTGTCTGTCTGCCTGTGCGATTATCTTTATATCTGGATTTGTCTCTGTGTGCTTCATTATTTGTTTTTATCTCTGTGTATCTTTCTTTTTTTCTCTCTTTTTTCATGTATTCCCCCCCCTCTCTCTCTCTCTCTGGGTTACTGTTTACTTGCGTTTCTTTTTATATATATATATGTGTGTGTGTGTGTGTGTGTGTGTGTTTATTTAGAAAAACAGTACGACAAACTGGATCTCTCTCTCTCTCTCACTCTCTCTCTCTCTCTCTCTCTATATATATATATATATATATATATATATATATATATATATATTATAATTTTATCATATAGACAAAACCATTTTACTCACTACAAAGATGAAACTTGGTTTCAGTGCATTTCAACTGTACTTCGACGGGTGAGAATCGAGAATGTTAGTCAACAATCCTCAATTTATATATTACTTTCGTTCTCATCGCATTGGATATATATGGAGTAAAAATCCACAGTTCGTAGCATTTACTTTTTAAAAAAGTGCTCAATACAAAGTAGAACACAATATTATTATAATATTTTTATTCTAAGAGTTTATTTTAATTGGTTGATCGAGACATACCCACAAGTATATTTTAATTCTGAACGTATGCCTCCCCCACTTTAACATTCGGAAAAGCGGTAACGATTTGTTTTTAAATTTTCCTAAAAATCATTTTTATCACCAGTTAGCAACCATAGCCTGAGGATGTGTAATCTAAGTATTGAAACATGAAAGCTTTTGTTTAGCGATTTAAAATGTTTTTATTATAAACTCTTATAATAAAAATATAATAATAAAAATAATAATTATATAGATATATATTTATATATTATATTTTCTCGCTTTGCGCATATGTTTCTCACACGCTTTGGCATACACGTTTACAAAAGCAAAAAAATGTATATTCTCAATGATTGACATGTATAATGATAATCCAGTCAAAACGTGAGATAATCCCGAAATTACGTAATGCACAAAATGTGTTAACTATGTTTTTAATACGTTCTTATTCTCCTTTTCACATTAAACTGGTTACAATGTTTTCGTTCTCTCTCACTTTTTCTTTATATATCTCTCTATCTATTTATATCTTTTTGTTGCTTTGTTTTAATTGTTTGTTGGTTTTTTTTCTATCCCATCACTAACATGTTCTCCAAATTATCATCCGTTCATTTCGAGCGTACCTGTCAACAGAATTTAGCCCAGCCAACGCCCTGCATTCTACAATATATCTTTTCGAATTTTCTTTTGTTTTTAGTTTTTTAGGTTTTTTTTTTAAATGGATAAAATAATAAAGTAATCGTGGGAATTAATATCTGGCTTAGGGTGGGAATTATAAAAGAAACAATAGTCGAAAAAGTTTACTTTTCTTGGGTCGGCATTTATATTCCCTTTTATTGTTTTCACTTCATTTTTCTTTTATAAAGAAATGGCTTAATAACGATTTCTACACGATGAAGAACAGTTTATCCCACTCTCTCTCTTTTTCTCCCTCTCTCGCTCTTGTGTGTGCGTGTGTGTGTGTGTGTGTTCTACGATGAAGAACAATTTATCCCATACTCTCTCTTTTTCTCCTTCTCTCGCTCTTTTGGGTGTGTGTGTGTGTTCCACGGTGAAGAATAGTTTATCCCACTCTCTCACTTTCTTTCTCCTTCTCTCGCTCTTTTGTGTGTGTGTATGTGTGTGTGTGTTCCACGATGAAGAACAGTTTATCCCAATATCTCTCTCTTTCTCCTTCTCTCGCTCTTTTGTGTGTGTGTGTGTTCCACGATGAAGAACAGTTTATCCCAATCTTTCCCAATCAGATTGGAACCACTAATCTATATTTTAACTTTTCTGCTGAGAAATCCCAAATGTTTGGTCAATATTTAAAGTCCTTGAACCAAACATGCGTTCTAAACCATAACTTTAATTTTAATTTAAGTATTGGTTGTCTAATCAAAATGATATTAATATAGTGATTTTCTAAGCACAGCTTAGATATGGCACAAGGCCAAAATTATGGGGCCAAAAGTGAGGATGGAACTCGTTCGTAATTGATTTAGCAAGACAAGCTTTCTAACCTTTAAACCACGTTGAGGTACCCCCAAAAAGTGATATTAATATATATGGAAAATAAAACAATTTAGCTTGACATGTTTCGCCAGGAATACGGCGTTATCAGAGGAAAAATTTTCTTTGAAAAAGCAGAAAGCAAAAACGAGATCTGCATTAACGGAAGGAAACGTGTTTTAAATTGAAAAAAAAAAATTAATCTCAATATGAAAATGAAAAAAGATTCACTTCAAAATTTAATCATTGCGAAACAAAGAAGTAATTTCAAATCAACAGCAGGAGTTTACCAACTCGAATGAAAACAATGCCCTAAAAAATCTATTGGCAATACATCGCGAGATTTAAAAAAAAGTATACATGAGCATCAAAAGAGAATTAAATTAAACAATACACTCAATGAACTTATGTATCGCTGAAATCTTTTTGATCACATTTGATAGAAAATGAACACATAATTATTTCATACAAAAAGTCATTGAAAGTTCTATGGATTACAAATCTCCTATGATTACTATTACTAACAATATGATTACTATATAAGCGGGCTATTTCAATATGTCTCCATTTCTTCCTAAATTAATGCTAAAACAAATTGTTGGAAATGAAATAAACGAATGAATTTAGTTGAAATCTTTATAACAATAGTCGAAAAAAGAAAGCTTATAGAAGCTGAATATAAAACACGTTTCTTTTTGGTAAGGTAGGTTTCGGTTGGTTTAAATAAAATTATTTTTCTGATAACGGCGGATTACTATCAAAATATATCAAGGTAAATGCTTCTACATTTTACGTTTTCAGCTAACTTGTTAGGTATTTTGCACCTAAACAAAAAATAAATAAATAAATAAATAAAAATGAAAAAAAGATAGACTTTATTACAAAATACAAAATAAAAACAACGCTTAGCAACGCATCATCTCTGAACACAGCTACAAGATTCGGGCCCTATTTGCGAATTAAAGCAACTTATCAGAGATTTACAATAACATTTTGATGGCAAATTCGAAATTGGCTAATAGAATAGCCAAAAGCGACAGAAAAGAACAATCATTTGAACAATTTCTAAACTTAATTAGTCCAGAACAGAAGCTCAAGAAAAATGAAAACAAACTTAGCAAAGCTATCTTGTCAATAATTTTAATGATATATATATATATATATATATATATATATATATATATATATATATATATATGTAAGCAAATGTAAATGGATATAGATCCGACAGAAATGAAAAAATTTGGAAAAACAAACAAAAATCCTTAAATGCAATTATGTTGTTTAAAATGAATGAAATGTCGACGTCTGACGTTTCGGTTTAATAAACCTTTTTCAAGACAATATTCATTAAAATACAATTCAGTTCAATTTGACAAAGACGATGGACAAAAAACAATTATAAAATTATATGATAAAATTTAATATTAAAATTAAAAACTTCCAATTTTAAAATCCAAATTTAATCACTATTAAGTTTAAAAACTATAAAATTATTGAGAAAAGAAAAAATACATATGTTATTCAATTTATTTCTTCGTTGAAATTACGTTCGACAAGACGCTACAATATATCCGGTCATTTGACAATACATGTATATATATTTTTTATTCTAAAGTGTGTGAATGTAGTCTTAAACTCACGCGCAAAACAACAAAAACACAATCAGATTATAATACATAAGCACCCAGACATATTTAGATATATATATACACACAAAAAAGCGACGAGACAGGAACATCATTACAACCCTTTATGAAAAAAGGAAACTGGAAAACCAACACCCACACACACACACACGCACAATTAAATGTGAATGCACTCTACATACACATAGACACCGGTAAATAAACGTACACACATCCTCAGACAATGATCTAGTCAATCAGATACCACAACCAATAAATATTTAAGACTTAACGTATCATTAAATAAATGCTAACCACTTATTAAAATATAACTTAAGCGAGCAAATATACACAGATAAAAATGGTTAAAGATAATATTATTTAATATATTAAAACGAAAATTCCAAAACCACAAATATCACTAAAAATAAATTTTAATCATATAAGTTGATAATAGTTTCATTATATATTAGGCGAAGGGAAACAGGATAAAGAAACCCACAGAAATAAGTGTACTGTCATACGTATATACATATATATATATATACACACGCGGCAGCAAACACAAATTAACACACATATACATACATACATACATACATATACATATATATACATACATATACACATACAGAAATACATACATATAAATATATAAACATAAACATATATGCACATATACATATCTATGATAACAAGTACACATGCACATGCATATATATAAACATATATACACACATATATGCACACATTTTTATGCACACATACTCACATATATAAATATATGCACCAATATAAATACATGCACCAATACATATATGAACATATATATACACACACACAATATATATATATATATATATATATATATATATATATATATATATATATATATATATATATGTACTTTGACGGGTGAGAATCGAGAATGTTAGTGAACAATCCTCAATTTATATATTACTTTCGTTCTCATCGCATTGGATATATATGGAGTAAAAATCCACAGTTCGTAGCATTTACTTTTAAAAAGTGCTCAATACAAAGTAGAGCACAATATTATTATAATATTTTTATTCTAAGAGTTTATTTTAATTGGTTGATCGAGACATACCCACAAGTATATTTTAATTCTGAACGTATGCCTCCCCCACTTTAACATTCGGAAAAG